ACAATTTGTGTTTTTACTGTGTTAATTAAATTTACAATTAATATACTTATTTTCATGGATAATACTTAAATATAATTAAAGATATATAAAACAAAAATACAACATATAGTGATAAAACAATGTTTTATAAGTTAATTAATAATATAAAATTAAAATAATAAGTGTCACTATCTATAAATAGATGCCCAGAGCATGGCAGAAGCTGAACAGGAATTTATAAATATAGGCATCTATTATATATAAGATTGCCATTATTAAAAACCCTGGTTGTATTACATACAATATATACTTACAAGTTATTGGTTGAATCGGATATTTATAATGCTATAATTGGTCAAATATAAATTTAATACAATGTATAACTAATAATAACGTTTAGTAATTTATATACGATATATAATATATATTTGTAATTAATTAGCAAATTTTGATAAACATTTTAATTGATTAAATTATAAATTTTATAAATTAAAATAATAATTTTTGACAATTTGTTATTAATATTAAAAAAAACTTATAATAAAACTTTTAAATAATATATAATATGACTATTAGTTAACAACAACAACAAAATTTAAAAAAACAAAACATAATTAAAAAGTTTTTTTAAAAATTTATTTTGTATGAAATCAATTAAATTTACTATAGTTTTATTTACTAAAATATTAACTAAATTAATTTAATTAGTTTATGATTAGTTATAAATTATAAAAAAATTGTTATAAAATTTATAATTATTAATTAATTAATGATAATTATGACATTGACTTATAGGCACACAATTGTTACTGTTTGGTCCGATTAATAATTGGCCGATTGGACAGTACCGATAGCAACCGGGATTACACCAAAATGTAGGACACGGGCGGGGATTGGGATTAACACATGTCGGCGGACAAGGGTTTTGACACTGACATCGGGTTCCCGGTTGTGGACACAAACGAGTGGCACAATCTGATTGGTTGGTAATTAAATGTATAAATATATCAAATTAACAAAAAATATATAATATTTTTCAAAAAAATAATAATAATTAAAACCATTTAATTGTTTTACACTATAACATTGTTTTAAATAAACTAATACAATAAATAACAAAAATATTTTATATAATGTTATTGATATTATTTTGTAATATTAATTTTTTTAAGATAAAAATTTTATAATTATCATTAAAGTGATTTTTAATTTAGAAAAAATATTATTAATATTTTATCACAATATCTGTATAATATAGCTGTAATTAATTGAATTAATTTTTTAAAGTTAAATAAATTGATTTTTTTATTTACACAGTATTTTTATTTATTTATTTTTAATAATTTTTAGTTATATACAGTTGTTATTTAAAATATAAATTATTAAATTATAATTAATTAAAATAAACCAAATGGTTTTGCATTATACTGTAGTAAAAAATATTGTTATAATTTTAAAAATATATTATTTAACCCTTTTTACTACATTGACTTAATGGCACACAATTGCCGTTAATTTCGGTAAACACCTGTCCAATGTCACAAACCCGATAGCACCCGACGTTACAACGCTTTGTTGGACACGGTTTAGGATTCGGATCAGCACATGTAGGCGGACAGGCATTTTGACACTGGCATCGGTAGCCAAGAGAACATTTACTGTATTTACACACTGTTTGTATTCAAAAAAAATTTTTTTTTTTGTTAAATTACATAATTTTATGTAAAAATTAATATATATATAAATAAACTAAGTTTATATAAAATACATTATTATAGCAATAATTACCTTCTGGGATAAAAATTGATGTTTGCGATACAATAACATTGAAATAGATAATAACAATTAGTAATAAAATAATTAGTTGTTTCATTATTTTTTTTTGTTGGCTAATTAATAAATATTAATTTATTATTTTAAAAATATAAAATAAAATAAAACTACAACTAAAAATACAATTGTTTAAATTAAAAGCAATAGTCTATTGTTTTTATAGTTTGAAAAAATTATGAAAAAATTTTATTTTGTTATTACAATATATGTTTTTAACAATAAATATATGTTTTTCTGAGTAATAAATAAGCAATTTATAATAAATTAATTGAGCAACGATTATATGACAAAAAAAACATAATATGTAGTTTTATTTAATATATAATCTAATGTTTAATTAAATTTTGTTAAACATTATAAAAAATTACTACAAAACTAACTATAAACAAACTATTGATATATACAGTATATATATATATACTGTATATATTAAAACATTTTAATTAATTAATTTAATAATTTAGTTTACAGTATAATTATTATACATTTGTTTGACATTAAATATAAATAATTTATTTAAAACAAAACAAAAATTATAAAATCTTGAAAAATATAACATAATTGCTATTAAATGCTAAATTTGTTAACCAATTCAACTCAGTTTACATTGACTTAATGGCACACAATTATCGTTAAGTTTAGTGAATACCTGTCCACTGGGTCAAACCCCTTTTAACACCGAGCATTGCATTGTTGGACATTGTAGTAGTAGAGGATCAGCACATGTAGGCGGCGGACAGGTATTTTGACACTGGCATCGGTATCCAGACTCACATCTACTATATTTGGACTCTATTTCTATTTTATAATTATTAATAAATTATATAATACTAATTTGAAGTGAATTACCATACAATTTATGAAACTTCTAATCTAGTATAAAATATTTTAAAATTATAAATTTATTTTTTTAAAAATAAAATTATAATCAATATTAACTTTCAATTAATGTTGTTGATTGTGTTTGTGGATCAATAACATTGAAATAGATAATAACAATTAGTAATATACTAATTAGTTGTCATCATTTTACTAATTAATTTTTATTATAAATAGAAAAACTAATTAATTTAATTCAAACAACAATTTATTATTTATAGTATTGATTTCGCAAAATATATTTTACATAATAATAATTTTGTTTTTCTAAATGTCAATGAGTTTCAAATAACTATTTTCATAAAGTAATCATAATTAAAAAAAAAGGTATGCTATGAGTATTTTTTAATGATTTATAGTTGTTTTTATACAACAAATTGTTTTTATATTATTGTTATTTAAAAAACACCATTCAATTTATTAGTTATTATGTTTATTACATTTTTATTTTGATAAATAAGTTTATTTTAATTTATTTTTACTGATTTCAATTAATAAAACAAATTGCTATTATTACTATAGCTATATAGTGTATATTAGTAGAAAAATAAAAATAAAAATATATTGAACTAATTTGTGACGGGTGTGGGGTTGACTTTCCCGTCATTGAAGCGAAGCTGTGATGAAAAGCCAATGTAGAGTGTAGTTGTTGATGAATGAGATGAAAATTATTAATAAATAATATTAATTAAGGCGAAAGTTCATTATGTGCCGTCACAAGTGTATATATTCACATTGAAATAAAACTTAATTTTATTTAAAGTTAAGTGCACATTAAAATATATAGTGAGTACATATTGTTTACATTATAATATAATATAGTGTATAGGAATATAATAAGTTGAAAAACAAGAGATGCGTGCTCTTTGATAGCAAGCGAGTAACTGATAAAATAATGGATGCTAAGCATTATTATATAGTGATTCTACTAATCAATAAATGTACTGTCAAGGCTATGCTTCCAGAATATTCTATAGTTACGCAACTGTAGATACAGTGACGCAACCAGAGCATAGGAATGCTATGATTGACAGGTCTATGGGAGTTATAATGTAAAATGTAATATTTGGTTATAATTAATAAAGTATAATTAGTTATGTGTTGTGTGTTACATAGTTGTGTTAAGTGTGAAGTCTAGAACACGAATATAACAAAAAGTCTACAAAAATATTAAAAATTACTAAATTATTGACTAAATAAGATTTACAACAAATAGAGAATTTCAATCAGTTATATATGGTAAGTATTGTATACTTATATAAATTGGAGCACTGTACCACTATATAGTAGTGTACGCATTAATAGTACAGTGTACCCCAACATATAATGTTAAGCACTGTTGACTCTCCACTGCTATAGCGTATTGAGTCAACGCCCCTGTAATGGCGGCTTACTGTATACATGTGTTTGTATGTATGTATGTGAATTTGTAAGTATGTTTTTTATTTTAATGTTAATTAATTAATTAAATATATATATAATTAGTGATTCATCACAAATTATTGTATGAAATTATTATAAAAATATTTTCTACAAAATATTATTATTTTTTTATTAATTATTAATCAATTTATATATTTACTGTATTATTGTTACAAACTCTTTAAAAGTGGAGTTTAAAATAAAATAATTATTTAAATTCATCTAAATTTATAAGTAATCATTATTTCTCATTATTATATTGTGAAAATAGTTTTTTTTAATTTACAATATAACAGACAATTTTATAATAAATACAATTAGCTAAAATATATTCAATTTAAAAATAATAACCAAATTAATTTTAATTTATAAAAATATTGCTTTAAAAATAGCTTAAATGTTATTTTTTTAAAATAAATATTAATTTGTAAATAAAATAGATTTATTTTCATAAAAAAACTATTAAATTATAACAAAACTACAGTAAATTTATAGTAATTTTTTAATTAATATATAAAAAAGTATAATATTGTACACATAAATTATAGTTATAATTATGAAATAATTTTTTTATTATTTAATTAATTATGTAGATAACATGTCAAAATATTACAAAAATTACAAAATTGATTCTAGTCCAATTTGTGTTATAATGTGCTATATATTATATAGAATAAAAAAGTTTTTTTTTTAAAAGTTATGTTTAACTATAAAATAATAATGTAAATTAGATCTGAATAATTATTTATGAAATTATTAATAATATATTAATATAAATACAAAATTACAAAATCTTATATGAATTATAATATTTAACAGATAATCATTTGTTTATTTTTTGTGATAAATCCTAAAAACAGTATAACAATTGAGAGGACAGCCTATTGTTAATCGACATGCATTAGCTCGTCATCTAGTTGTGTGTCGTCAACATTATCATTGATTTTTGGCATCTCTTCCTCTTCTATATTATTTGTACTATCAATTAGTAGATCATCAAAATTATCTAAATCTTCGATAGCATTATCAATAATGTCTTCAATATTGCTATCATTTTCAATATTATCAATAATATTGTCTTCATTGTCATCATTATTATCTTCAGTATTATCTACAATACTATCATTAATATTGTTTTTATTAGTATCTGTATTATCAATAACAATGTTATCATCGGCTACTGGTTCGACAGTTTCATTGGTCACAGTCTCAGTCATATCCAACTCGCTATCGTTGGCCTCGAAAAAGTCATTTTCATTGTCCGAAGTCATTCGTCTCTTCTTTTGAGGCGGACTTTGACTTTCGGGACAAGTCTTGAAACTTTCGCCGCCGTCAGAGTCGTGACCAACGTTTAAGTCAACATTTGCTTCGGTGTTTTGGTCACCAATTTCGACTAAAACCTCGTCGTCATTATCGTTATCATCAATAGCTTCGAAGTCACGTTCAAAAGCTTCGTTAGCAGTCATTAGTTCCTTTCGATCGCCTATTCTGTTCATTATTGTCGACAACTTTTTCTTGACAATCTTGGACTTTGATGACTCAAATTTGTTGACAATAATCTTCATATTGTATTCAAAATGATTCAACTCTTTGGCATTCATTGGAATCAGATTCAAGTGAACGACTGCCGGCAATAGATAGTCTTCGGCAAACTTAATGTCTTGCGGCTCGCAATCAATCATTCGTTTAGTCAAATCKGTGGCCAACTTCGGGTGGCTTTCGTCGTTAATTAAATTCAGAAAAAATTTGATCAAATTTTCGTAATTAATATTTTTCATGCGCTGATCGTACAATGTTTGAACAGTTATCATAAATGACTCTTCGATAGCCGATTGGCCAACAATGACGCCCTGAGATTCAGCCAATGCATACAAACGCAAAAAATCGCCGATAAATTGAACGAGTATTTGGTTTTCGTCGGGTGTAAACCAAATCAGTATCAATTTGGCCAACAATTCAGGCGAATACATACGACAGTGTATTAAGAGTTTGGAGACGCCCTGAACGGCCGTCTGTTTGATTTCAAACAAATCCGATTCGAGTTGTGTATAGAAGAACTGTTTCAGTGATGTTATGAAATCTTCATCGCTGTCGTCGAAAGCCAATTGTCGGATATACGAGTTATCTTCGGTTTTGTCGCCGTTTTTGTCTTTTTTATCATCAAATATATTGATTCCGTGTTCACAAAGTGAATCAAAAATGCTTTGCAATGCAATCATTTTGATTACAACAACGTCTTTGAGAAAAATCTATATTTAAATTTAAAAAAAAATAATTTCATATATTGTATAAAAGTAAGACACAAAAAATCAACAATTCATTGATTTCATACTTCAATTAATAGATGTAAATATTTTTTGAAATATTGAGGACACGTCAGACAGACTAAACCGAGACAACGGGTGGCCGCCCGTCGGACAGACACATCATCGCTGAGAAATCCTGGCAAACACTGGAAACATTCAGAAACAACAAAAATATGTCATTTAAAAGAGTAAATCAATAAAATAAAAACAAATTTAATTCAATGAATAATTAAAATACAAACCACTTTCTCGATGTGTGTCTGCATAACTGCGTTTACTTGACTAAAGTCACTGAATTCAAGACAACTTGAAAACATATGAAGACATCGCATCAGTGACTTCGGGTGATCCTAAATAAAGTGAACACCAAAACAAAATTTGTTATAAAAACACTCTTCGAAAATAATCTTTTTTTTAAAATCTAACAGTAAATGATGGCAACGATGATGTTCTGGTGCTTATCTGTAGCGATGATGTTTGCGATGATTGTGAAAATGATATGTTATTAGTGGCCGATATCTTGTCCTGAATGGCGTTCAGCTCCTGTTGACAATCAGTTAGTTTGACATTAATTTCTTGTGTCTTTTCCGACTCTCTTCTTTCATCATCATTGCCATCCATTTCTTGTAATTCAATTCTCAATTTATCAATCATTTCAATCAATTTGTTTTTTTGGTCTTCAAGTTCGCGACCAGCAGTTTCTTCGGCAATCGAATCCAAGTCATCTGATGCGGCGCCGATAGCATTGAATATTTCGCTAATTATTTCGACAGTAAAATCCAGAAAAGTTATATTATCGGTAAAACCTTTTCGGGCCAAACATTTCATAACCGGTGCGACATAATTGAGAAATTTATAGCCAATCGCATCGTTCATCAGTATAACTCTCAGAGACTTAATCAACATTTTTCTTTGGGCTTCGTCTCCAATGTCCAACAGTAGTGAGACTTTCATAAATTGATTGAAAATAAATTCAAAGTCCAGCGCGTCTTCCATCGACAAGTCCTGTTCGATGACATTAGTCATGAATCTAATTTAAAAACAAATAATAAATTTAAAAAAAATTATCATGGTAAATTAGTTTTATAGGTAATTAAATTTAAAACTATACATACTTTTCAAGATATGAATAAAATAGTGGTACTTCAGGCACTAGTAGATCAAATAAGTCAACATTTTGTACATTGGATTCATCGGGTGATAAATTTTGGCACTCATTGTCATTGTAATCAATATCATTGGTTGCAGAAAATTGTTGAACAACATTAAACTGATCGTCAGATACAGTATTATTACCGGTAGTATCGATCGGATCATTGGATTCAGTCATCGGTTGTGGTGGTGGTGATGATGGTGGCGATGAAACGTTAGTTTTAATATCTTTGGTCGCAATTTTATTTGATTGACAAAACTCGCATAAAAATCGCCACAAAAAGATATTCTCGACATTTAACGAAACACTAAACAGACGTTCTTTTGTCAGATTTTGTGCACAAAACTCTTCGACCAACTGATGAAAACTTGTCTTTGGTTTGTTGTCGTCGTCACCGAGTTTTTCACTCAACAAATGCTTAAAATATATGATTAACATCTTCTCGATTAATTCGATATCTGTTTGGATGTCCAAAGCAATCAACAGTTGAACCAAATTATTGTCGCAACTCTTGACCCACGAAGGAATTAGAACCGATTCGACAACTTTCCTGACGGCTGGACTGCGGTCTTTGAGACCGTTCTTCAATATTGTCAGCCGTTGTTCAATAGTAAAGCATTTCATCTGCAGTTTGGATGCAATTTGATTGTAAGCTATAAAACAAATAAAAAAAATATATAATTTATTTAATAATTATTTGCAAAACAATAAAGAAAACAATTGAATACCAGTTTTGCGGATAAAATCTTTGACATCACGAGTGGCGCCAACAAAATGTGTTAAACTTTGCTGCAAAGCGGCCATCGATTTCAAACAATTGTGACGAACTTCGGGATCCGGATCGTAGTCCAAATGGAAATGTATGGCCAGAATCACCAGATCGTTGTCATTACTGGAATCTTGAAACCGATGTAAAGCCATAATAGCGGCCGCTCTGACTGACGTCACTTTATCGACAGTTCGGTCGAGTAATGCTTTTCTAATCTTTTCAAACATATCTTCGCTGATGTCGTCCAACTCGTCGGACAGCAATCGGATTAAAAAACAGGAATTCAGACGGCATTCAACTTTTGTTGAGTTGGTATACGGTATGACCACATCTTCGAGTATGGCATTAATCAATTCGTGTCGCAACTCGTCGTTGTCGCCGTTGAGCGTCAAATATCCGCCGTTGCCGTCATCGCCTCTACCGGCGCGGCCGTTAACCGTCGGATCAATTTCAATGGTTGCCGGAAATGTCAACAAATATTTGACAATAAAAGCTATAGTATTTTGTGTGTACGGCGATCGGCTATCGGGAACCCATAGCGAATACTTTACGTCGCGGATCAGCTCTCTGTAGAACTCTTTGATCGATCGCTTGTTTTTCGTATATTGTCGCTGAAGACACGACAACCGGACCAAACATTCGGTATGTTTGTCGAGACGTTGCGAGTCGTCAAAGATGGCACGCATCGCGTCCTCGACGTTCACCACCACTGGCGCCGATGACGGCGGCGGCGGTACTGAGCGACGCTTTTTTGACGACTTGTTACCACTTTTGCGGTTTCTTTGTTTACCCGACATGTCTTCAATACGGCGGCGGATAATGTCTTTTCAATTACTCTATCTGTCTGTCTGTTTGTTTGACAGATATATCTTCAGCTGTTTATACACTAAACCATATCTTCCTGTGTTTTGATTGTTTTTGTTTGTTTGTTATTGTTTGCAAACAATTCACAAACAACGTTACAATATTTAAAATAATAATTATTATAAAAAAAGATTTATTAATAATAATAATACTAAATAAATAATAATAAATTATATTAATATAATATTTATAAATAATTTTATTTTAAAAATATGTTAATTATGAGGAAAATTATATAATTTATTTTAAGATTCAAAATTTATATGTTATTATTATTATTATTATTATTATTATTATTATTATTATTATTATTATTATTATTATTATTATTATTATTATTGTTGTTGTTGTAAATTATAATAAATTTTACTAATAAATACAATGTACTACAGTAGTATTATTTGAAATAACTTATTTTCTTTACCAAAAAATTATTATATAAGTAAATATCAAAATGATTAGTTAATCATTGTTTAGTTGTTTTTAAAAAAAACTATTTTAAAACAATTTAGTCTGACTTTCTGTAATAAATATATATATTTTACAAAAAAAAAATTTACAAAAAAACTACCTTAATTATAGTTACAGTAAGTAAGTACACTAAACTTATATCTAATACCATTTTAAATTATTAAAATTTGCCAAAACAGGTATAGTATTTTATTTTTATTATTATTTAGTTAAAATTTAATTATAAATATTAAATAATCATTATAATGGTTATAATAATTTTGCTATAATTTTGACAAAAAATGGCATAATCATATTTATTGCTTATCGTAATATATATAATTTAGATACAATATATTAATACATAAAATTATTATAATTTAAATCTTACTGTAAATAAATAATTAAAAAAAAATAATTAATTAATAACAAAGTTTTTTTGTCACAATACATAAGCTAAAATTTTTTTTTGACTAAAATACAATATAATTTTCAACAACAAAAAAAATATTATAATATCAGTAGAATATACTGTGTATATGAAAAATAAAATATAAATAACAATAACTTTTTTTTATTATTTTAAAATATTACTTTCAAAGTAAACACTTTGGAGTTCAAGGGAAGTACTGTTAAAGAGATTGACAGTTGTTTTGGACACAAATAAAAATAATTGTTTTAATAATTTATCTGTAACTTAGAGGTAGTTTTTCTTCAACGGACTTTCTTGAGAATTCGTTTTACTTGAAAGACCACATCTTCGTGAGGCACACGAACCAAATCGTTCAGTCGTTTCAGCAGAAGTTCGGTCGCCTCGAAACCATAGATGGCTGAGTACAGTGTCTCCGGAGATGAGGCTTTGTATTCGACAGGAAGATCTCTGGGCGTAAGCTCGCGAAGACATGTAATGTCGATAATGTTGGCCAAGAAATTGGTCACACGTAAGACCAGTTCCATGTCGTGACTAGAGTCGAGCAGTGCATATAGATTTGTGGGCGCCTAAGAAAAAAGAAGATACCAAATAATAATCTTATGTTTAGAATAAATGCCTAATAATTAGATAATCACTTAGACATACCTTAGCGGCCAATAAGTAGGGAACCATTTCTGAATTTGACGATAAATTGACCAACAGTTTGCTTGACTGTAATCTAAGCGAAGTGTTCGGGTGCGACAAAAGGCACAAATATTTATCTATTGCCGACACCATTAGTATTTGATTGTAATCTTTAAGCGCCAAATTGGCCAGAGCTCGGAGCGTCCAATTGGTTAAGAGATCGTTGTCCGATGTCTTTACGTGTGATATAAGCAATGGAATGCATTCCTATCATACATACAATTAAACACATAATTCAATGACAATTAGCCAGTTGTGTATCACATAAAACTCTAATACATACTCTAAGCAACTCCTGTGCCCTCTCACTGTTGGCCACATTGGCCACGGCATTAATGGTAGCTGTCTGTACGGCACGACTTCTATCGGAAAGTAATTCATATAACAGGAGAACACATCCCGAGTCGCATATCGTATCCTTTAATTTATAGGATTTAATTAAAAAATTAAAAACTACAGAAAAAAACTATTTGATTTAATGTCCAAACAAAATGGTTAAAACAATACATACGATATTCACAGAGAAAGCGCAACAATTGGCAATTACAGACAGTGTCTTAATTATGAGATCTTCGTCGCGACTCATGAGTAAAATCGTCAAACCTTTGGCGTCCTGTTGGGACAGATTTGGCTGAGATTTGCCAAATAGTTTGTCAAGTTTTTTCTTATTCATCTGGATTTCCGTGTCCGACGGCACTGATATATTGACGGCACGTTTAATACCAATATTGGTGTTTCGATCGGTGACCACGACATCCAAATTGTCTGATACTGATCGATAAAGTCGATCAGTGGATTCGTTGAGCGTCCCCAGCGATGGATCGGGACTTGCACTGCCCGATAGGTTACGTTTCGGTGTATTACCGCAACTGCGGTACTGTCTGTTTGGCGTCAAATGATTGCTACCGCCAAACGATCGGCGAAACTGAAAGTTAGTTGTATTGACAAGACGTATGTTTAGTTCGCGAATACGTTCTTCGATACTCTTAGCCCACGGCGACCACAGTTCGGGTGGAATGTTACGGAAGGCAGCCGTACGCTCGCGTTGGCCAATCGGTAGAGTCAGATCGGTTTGCGATGAAGCGTTACTTAGCGAATGACCAAAACAAGACGTTACAGTTAATGCATTGTCGGCAGTGTGTCGACTGTCCGTCACATCGCTTTTGCGTCGTTTTCGGGACTTTTTATGGTGATTGTTGTCCACGCGATTGCTGTTACCTCCGCCCGAACTGAACACATCGCGTAATATCGAAATACCGAAGTAGGCAATTCCGGCCATCAGAGCGCCGGCCAATGCAATCTTACGGCCCGTTTCGTTGTCCATTACCGGCAGTAAAGACCGGAATTGTTTAGTAAATGAAAAACAATTTCTCAGTTTTTTTTGTTTTGTTTAGTGAAGCGATGTCTTTGAAATAATCACTGAATTGTCTGATGAAATGTATGAAGTTTTTTTGAAAAGTGATATATTATCGACCATTTTGGCCACTAATAAGACAACATTCGGCGGTAATATTTGAGACAACTATTAATGAATAATAATAATGTGGTCATTGTTTACCACTTTTTTTTAATTATTATTATGTTATTCACGATTTGTATGTCTGTATGACCTATGAATCGGTGGATAAACCGATCGATAAAATACATAAAAGATTTTTGTGTTTAGTGTTGACATCTAATGCATTCAATTGAAAATAGAGTGATTGATACACAACAACAACAAAAAGATAGAAATTCCTATACAATATTAGTTTAAAAAAATTAAAATAATTATATATTAAAAAATAATTTAATAAATTAAAGATAAAATAATTTATCAATAATTTAATACTGTTTTTTCTCTCTAAATGAATATAGCTATTAATACATAACTGTATAATAATAATTTTTTAAAAATAATAAATAAATGTAATTCAAGGTACTACCTGGAACATTGACAACACTAAATAATATAGTCACATGATATTTGTATTATTTTGTTTATATTGTTTTTATTGACAAAAAAAAATTTTTTTTACAGTCAAAGCAATTGAAGTGATATTAAGCCTAATATTTGAAATCTAGTTATCAATTGTCTGTCAATCTATTGATGTCTTTATTATTATTATTATTACACGAAAAAAATGTCAATCAATTTGCTGACCGAAAGGCTTGTCCGCGAATCGCTGGTCTCCGTCCAGTGCACACAAGTGACCGCCGATCATCATTCGGTTGCCAATCTGTACTCCGATGACCAACGGCTGAGACAACAGGGTTTTAGGTAAATTTGGTGCATGTCTTATGTGGGATCAAATTTAGGTGATAGTAATTAATATATATATATATATATGACCCGACCGTAGGACTGAGAATTTTGTTCGGCCACCGGTTGACATTATTATCAATTGCCGCGGGTTTGCCGTTAATCTGCGCGAATTGGAGATCGGTCTCAGAGTTGGCCAAAATAAATGCCATTCACTAGAAGTTTGGTCATTGTATGGGTCTTCTGCAGCAACCACTGCCGTCGCCAGCGGACATAAATCACAAGATTTTCAACTGATTGGCCGACAGTTTAATTGCAATGATTTCGATGTTTTGTGTCTACGAAATGTCAGTTTTCGGCCAAACAATGTACTGAATGGTCGTCTGCCCGATAAGTGTTCACCGGATAACTGTCCAAATAGGTTGTCGTCTGTGAAATCCGAGACATTAAAGTGTTTCAAAAATTGTTTTAATATTCAGTCGTTGAAGATTAGGATTCTCAGGACATTCAACTCAACTGTTCCCTGTTTGAGGTATTTTTGTTGTTTGTAGAGTAATGTGTATTAAATTAATTTTTAAAATTAATTTTTTTTTTTAAAAAGTTTTGTGAATATTATGTGTCAACCCGTCCGTCAAACTGATCCCGAAATTCTTAGCAAACTTCGCACTATATTTACCACTCAAAATAGCGGCCAAAATGTGCCAAAAACTGTCAGCTTTTATAATTCTGGTGAAGATCAGACATCTTCATCTGAAACTAAGAGTAGTTCCACAAGTGTTTCCAATAATAATAATAATAATAATTGTGATCCAATTTCACGGAAACGCCGTTTAGATTGGTTAGCCTCACAGCGATTGGATAGTCAATCGACGGCTTCCATTCCCGAAGAGTTTATCGACTGTATAACCAATGAAATAATGATTGATCCTGTTTTGCTACCGTCGGGTCATTCAATAGACAAGACAACTTTGGAACGATATCTCGCCGAAGAGGCCAAATGGTGTCGACGACCATCTGATCCATTTACACAACTTGTCTTTACTGGAGACAGACATCCCAAACCTAATTATATACTTAAGCAACGAATCGACGAGTTTTTAAGCCAATTGAGCGAACAGTCTGTTATAAGTGACGACCGTTTGGAGCCATCAACTAAACGAAGAATTGTTGGCTATAATTGTGTTAATAATAGAAATAAATTGATTTCAAGTAAACTCGTCGCTACTGATGTCGGCATCAGTAATACTACTAATATTAGTGATAAACTGGAAAGTAATAGTAGTATTGTTAGCAATGTTTTACAACAAATCAGTTGTCATCAAAAGTGTATTGTCTGTAATGTTGATCACTGGTCGGCCGATAAATCAATAGATATATACAAATTGTTGTGCTGTCACCTAATCTGTGGACCAGAGCTGAGAAGTAAAGTTGCGGAAAGTACTGATAAAATGATTGAATGCAATGATTGTAAATGTTTGATGAAAACTAATGAAATTTTAAAAGTTAATCGTTTTTCATGACAATTATAGTTGAGATCTTTAAATTTAATTTATTGATAATTAAAAAAAACAAATTACAAAACTTTACGTTTACTATTTTGTGTACTATTTATTATGTGACAGTGAAAAATATCATTTCATGCAAAAATTTAACAAATTAGTATATATATTTATTTGTATATATAATTATTGTGATAAACTTTTTTTATGAAAAACTAAAATTTCTTGTTTAAAAATAATAGTAAAATTCATTTAAATTGTGGTGTAATATAAAAATTCATTCATTCATTAACTAAAATTCATTATAATTTCTATAATACAAATTTCATGCGATAAAAAATAAACTCATTGCTAACTAAAATTTTTTTTTAAAAATAATAAAATAAATTAATTAATTAATAGGTTTAAGTTGAGCCCAATTGGGACCAACTTTTACGCGAACCGGTAGGTCGACTGAAAAGTTTTTCAGACATCTTTCCATAGAGTCTTGAAGACACTTAACAAATGATTGGACATCCCGTTCCAGTACTTCATACATCAATTCGTCATACATTTGTAATACAAATCGACACTCAATTGGTTTTATGGTATTCAATAGATTTTCTTTCATCGAATTCATAGCCATCTTCACGAGATCGGCAGCCGATCCCTGAATAGTAGAGTTAACGGCTTGTCTTTCGGCTTTTGACCTCAACATCGAATTCGAACTGTTAATGTTCGACAAATAACGGCGTCGACCGCTCAACGTCTCGATATAACCTTTTTCCCGACACTTATCGACAGTTCTGGTAATAAATCTTTTGACGCCTTCATATCTGCCAATAAACGACTCCATAAACTCTTTAGCCTCATCTTCGGTAATCTCCAGATCTTCAGCCAGTGATTGTTCTCCCTTTCCGTATATCATTCCGTAACATATCTTTAAAAATAAATGAATACAATATTATCATTAAAAAAAAGATTAAGAAATTAATTATTTTAATCCATTACTTGTTTAGATTGTTGTCTCTCATCATCGGTCACCTCATCGATTGGTTTCGTTCGCCAAACGGATGCAATACTTTTGAAGACATCGCCGCCACTGTTGAGTACTTCTTGTAGTTTTGCATCTTTGGACAGATGAGCCAAAATCCTAAGCTCTAACTGCGAGTAATCGGCGGACACTAACTGCCAACCCATTCGAGAGATAAAACATTGTCTCAAACTAAACGAAACAGTTGTCTGTTGGCTATCATTATCATCTAAAATGATGTCATCGACAGTAAAATCTTTATTAACACCAATAAGATTTGGCTCATGCATTGATATCCTGCCGGTTGATGTCCAGTCATCGCACAGACCATAGATTTTATACAAATCCAAATCAGTGTCATAAGTGAGATAATTCTTTACTGGTTTAATGGACTTTTTCATAGCGTAATCAACTTTACGCCAATCGAGTATCACTTGTGGTAATGGATTTGAGGTCAATGCGATCAGTTTCTTCAGTGCCAACTTCGATGTACTCAAATGTTTCGGTAGTTTTCTATTGTTACGGACATTACCACCACCTACTGCTTTGGCTGTCGTTTTCGTATTCTTTTTGATGTCATAATAGTTGGACAATAACTTCATGTCTTGATATAAAACTTTAGCGATTTCGTGTGGCTTTGACAGTGCAAACCTTACGCCTGATATCTCATAAGCTTTGGCCTCTAACTGGCGTTTGGTTTCCTCCAGCAGATCCAACTGTTTGCTCATATAGTCATTATCAACCACCAGTCCATTCAATTCCATGTCTGATACCGTCAAACGCGATGACATCTCTGTCTTCATATAGGCTTTTAATTGATGTTTCGTTTCTAATTCAGTTAATATGGAGTTCATTATCGGAAAAAGTAGACCAATGGACAGACAGTCTATGTCCACAATCTTAGTTCGCAACAAATAGCTATACTTTTCGCAGTAAATCTTCACCAATTGCTGTACAGACGTCGGTCGTGATGATTCGGGATCTACTACCCAGTGGCCAACCCGGACATCGTACCAATCGATCGATGACAACTGATCCGCACTTAAATTGAAACATATTTTCAATACTTTATAACACATATTGATATCAAATGTAACAATTTTCGACTCATTCTTGAGTTTAGTCTTAAAATTGTCTCTAAATTTGTTGAGTGCATCAATGGATTCGATATGATAGACAATGTTTTCACCCTCGAAGTTAACTGTTACCGAAGTCATCACTTTATTATCATAACCCAAATCCAAACCATTCAAAGTCGAATCATTATTAGACTTCAATCGCGGATTAATTCTCGAACCGATCAATCGGACAGAAGTAATGTTTTTTGTTTCAACTTTGAAATCAATGGCCAACACCTTCTTGAGCCACAATTTGTTTAACAAATTATCAATTATTGATACGTTTGATGAGTTTATAGTCAAAACGTTTAGTTTGTCGCCAATATTAATGACCGCGAACTCTGATTTATTGACCACCGAACTGGCGTCCGATTGGCCAGACTTTTCCGAATCCAATGAATCATCAGATAATGGCGGAAAACTGTCGCTAAAACAATCTTCGGATGTCACCGAAGTATCTGATGATACAGAAAATGGTCTTTTATTGAGACGTTCGGCTAATTTTCCTGAAGGACTTGGACTGGAAAATCGTTTGGACGAGTGATCAGATGACGATCGACTGCCTATAGTATCACAATCTTCGTTGTCCACTATTTCTTGTTCTGGACAACGATTGGCCAACAAATCTGTGCTCAGAGTCGATATGTCTTTCATTGATACTTCAGCAGCGTTTGAATCATCACATCTGTGACTATGACTTTCGTTCATTTTATTCAAATCACAGTTAAGTCGATCCCATGAGATATCGTCTAAACTATCGGTAAAAGCGCCAAACGACTCATCCTTTAGTACTCTATTAGTATTAGTATTATTATCAATGTTTCCAAATGATAGTGAAGTGTTGCCACACTTTAGTTTCAAATGAGATCGTCGGCCAATATGTGAGGGCCCGGCAATCGGTGTCGACGACATAGTGGAGGGTAGTCTGGGATCAGATTCTGTAAGATCTAAGAAACAAAAGATTTTGTGAGGTCTTTAGCAAATATTTGGACAATTATCAGACAGACATAACATTTCGCTTTTAATGTTTGAGATTACGGTAAGGATTACAAAAAATAATACAATTAAAAGGATTTATTTAGAAATATTTATTATATCCCAATAATAAGTTAATCAAATATATTAGCAAAATATTAATATAAATTAATTAATTATATAAAATTAATTCAATTTATAAACAAAAGACAATTAAATAGTATTAAAATACAGCAAAAAACACAAAAATCAACGAATAATTAGAATATTTTGTACAAAAAAAAATCTAAGCGAAAGGTTTTGCCGCAACTGATAACAAAAGATTAAGACTTGGGTTTAGATCTAATTTAACGATAATAATAATAAAGATTAACGAAAATGAGATAAATGTAAATTACGATCGTTATGATGGGTGGATGTATTGGACAAACAATCCATGGGTGACAACACTGTTGGTACAGTTGTTGAGGACTGTTGTTGTGGATGAGATCTGTTTGGCGACACAACGCCGCCGTTAATAATATTATTATCACATTTTGTAGTCTCAGTGGATTGTTGTTCAATAAAAGACATGTCTTCTATGCTATCGTCACTATTGTCGATACAATTTTCTTTAACATTATTAGTGTCGATCAACGACTTCTTCGGCTGTGACAAGAGTTTCGTAAAATTTGTATCAATTTTTGGCTGTTGATGAACATCATTGGACTCATCGGAAAAGTCTTCGGCTAAACGATCGCTAGGATTAGAGTCTGTACTCGAGGCTTGACTTAAATCATAGACCTTAATGCCGACATCTTTGTTGACCAGTTCTTTGGCCTCATAGATGATGGCTTTGACCATTTCGCGTACATTCATGGCTTTGTTGAGAGTCGGCAGCCAAATGACCGACTGTTCCGCAGAATTAGTTTTGTCGAACGGACCCGAATTCATAAGAATCAGTTCAATATCCGAAACATTTTCGACATTAGCCAACGATACGACCGTATCGTAGCCTTTATTGTAGAGAATACGAGCAATGTTTGACGTTAGCGATGCAATTCTCATTAGATCAATGAGCTCTCGTTGGACACCAAAAAATAGTCGACTCTGGAACTGTTCGATTAGTATTTCCATATTATGCCAACCGAGACGATTGCAAAATGTGGTCAACATTCCGGCAAAACTACTAGAATTTTGTTGCATCGATTGGAGAACACCTTTCGATATTTTGAATTTGTTGGCCACTTCTTTGAGCGGTATTTCGTGTACCAAATCATGCAAAGCTAGTGCTGAGTAAAATCGTTTGTGTATTAGATGTTCTTCGGGACGAAAATGTCGACTCTTGCGAATCATAGTCAGTATGGTATTCTCCGACACACCGACCAGTTTGCCTACACGCCGCATATCGACATCCAGTTTGGACCAAATATCCAGATAGTGTGGCCAATCGATAGAGTCTAATTGATCACTTAAATTGATTGGTGTCACTTCGTACAGTAGATGCAAATCGTTGGCTAAACAAAGATTGACTTTGGCTTTGTTCAGTTCGCTCAATATGAATGCTCCGTCTTTCGGTGAGATACCCGACGCCAATACGGCTTTACCGAATTGGGTGGGAGTTATCTTTTGTTGGCTGCCATCGGAACCCTCGGACAAACTGTGTATGAGTTTTTCATCGCTCAGATATTTAAGAATGTCTTCAATGATGGATCTCGTTATCGATGACAAACTGGTCGATGCCAAGAATGTCTTAGAAATATATTCAGAAATATCTTCATATGTGACGGCTGTTCCGTTAGCAATAATCTCAAGTATGGCTCGTCTAAGACCACTAAATGAATAATCGGAGACATTTGACTGAGAATCGGTAATATCGGTGTTTAGAAGACAACTATTGATTGGTGTTAAACCGTTACGCAATAGTTCTTCAGCTTTCTGGCGATTGCTATCAGAGCACATGAGTATACTCTCACCCATAGTGTCAACACCTTGACGGCCGGCTCTACCGATCATTTGTCGATAGGTTAGACTGTCCATCATATTTCCGCGAAAATCTAGTGGCGACCGAATAATGACAAGTCGTGCGGGAAGATTAACACCGGCCGACAGTGTCGATGTGGCGCACAAAATCTTAATGACGCCGTCACGAAATGCCTGTTCAATGATAGCCCGTTCGTCCATCGATAGGCCTGCGTGATGAAAGCCAACACCGAAACGTATATTAGCTTCAATTGACGGATCTTTGCCAGCAGAACATCGTTCCAACTGATGAAGAAGTTCTTTAATCTTATTGTAGTCGAGTACGGATGAGATCTTTGACCTATAGTCGCGTGTCTTATCGTTGGCTATTTTCTTGCCGGCGCCCAACTCGAAGATGTTTGATGCCAGCGTACGGCACAGTTTCTCGCACTGGGCTTTTGTTGAACAAAAGATCAGTGCACCCAAACTGTTGACCATTGTCTCGATGGCCAAATAGACCAGATTCGTATCGTCAGTTCCATCACTTCTCCTAATATTATAGTCTTTGATATCCAAACGCCGGTATTCATTCATTTCCGATGAATCATAGATAATATCGCCGATACAGACTCTTTCGTAGAGAGGAACGGGCCTGAAGTCGGTTACATAGAGGGCTGAGTCGAGCCAATTGGCAATATCTTTGAGATTAGGAATCGTAGCACTCATTCCTACGATTTGTATTTTGTGATTGACTTTTGATTTCATAAACAATATTTTCGTTAACAATAACTCCAACAGAAATCCTCGTCCAGAGCTGCCTATCATATGAAGTTCATCGACAACAATGAGACCAATTTCATTGAGTTTGTTGTCTTCAATCAATCTTAAATAATAATAAAAATACATAATTAATATATAAAAAATTCAAATCATTTTTTAAAACATAATTAACAAAAAAGCTAATTACTTGTTAATCATATTATTCGCCTTCTCTATGGTACACACGGCTACATCAACTCTGGCCAGTCCTCCTCGGGGGTTAACACCGCCGGCAAATGCGTCAACACGAACGCCAACCGATCGCAGGACACGTTTCAACGATAACATCTTCTCCTGGGTTACCGAAACAAATGGCAATATAATGATAGCCTTCTTCTTGTGTTCTAACAATTGCTTATATAACAAGATATCGGAAACCATTGATTTGCCGGCACTTGTAGGCGCCGAGTATACCAGATTACGGCCTTCGAGAACTCCACTTTTGCTAAGACATTCCACCTAACGGTTAATAATAATAAAAAACAGGGAACAGTACTATTTGCTGGAAAGTTGCTATCAATTATTAATAATCTTATCAAACCTGCCAATCAAACAATCGGGTAATGCCTTTACGGGCATAAAACCGATGTATGGACGACGGAAAACTCCAGTTGGACAACAAATTGCTGTCAATGTTTGCATTGTTGAGATGACTACCACTCGAATTGCTGTCATCGCCGGAAAAGTTAATCTGAATACTGTCACCAGATTTCAAATGATTGACAGTTGTCCGACTGCGACTACGTGTCCGTTTGAGGCCCGGCTGTCGGACCATCTTTTGTTGGCGAGTCTGTTGTTGTCTTTTTTTGGTAGCATTTTTCACTGCTGTCCGATTCATGTGGTGTCTGTTCATTCAATGTTATGAACCGTTGTTTGCTTATCAATCATTTACTTCATGTTAAGTGTGTGAATGTTCTATGAAATCAATAGGAGGAAAGTGATGCAAACTTTTTTTAAAAAGCAAATTTGTTACTAAAAATAAAAAATTAAATCCAAGTTTTTTTTAATAATGATATATTTAGTAAATATAATCTAATTAAAAAAAATTTGATGAAAAACTATAGGATAATTTCGCGCATAATTTGTTTTTTAAATATCAATTTACAATAAATTTATAATTAGTTTTTTTAAATTTTAAAAACCATAAGTATATTTGAAAATCTCTCGCGACTCACAAATATATTAATAATTATTCAATGCATTCAATAAGTTGTTTACGATTATTATTGATTTTTTCTTTTGATGGGGTATTTTAACAATTTATAAATTATTTTAATTTTTTTTAATACACAAAACACAGTCATTTTTAAACACATGTACTTAATGTATATAAATGTGTTTTCATTCAAATATATAAACAATGTTTTAAGTCTATATACACGTGAAAATTATTTGCAGWACTTATTTATAATACTCTGTTATAATCATTAGAGAGTTAACACATTATAAGCAAACAAACAAATCATTTCCTAAATCTCTTAAACAGTGGATGTTTGTGATCTCCTCCTCCTTTGGCCGAACTTTTCTTATACTCCATATAGACGTTGTCGTCGGCACCCGATATGGAGCTCATGTTTCCGGCTTTTCGGATAAAACCACCCGAAGCGGACCGGCCAGTAGCCGAGTCAAGACCGCTAATCTTTTCTTCTTCACCGTCGGCATCGTTGGCCTGTAATACCTGTTGCAGTAGTTGTTGTTGTTCGTCTCGGCTCTTATAGAGCAGTTCTTCTTCGTCCATACCTTTCAACGTAGTAATCACTTTATAGCTGTAGCCCTGATTGACAAGAAAACGTTGTCTTTTGCGCGCGTATTGCATCTCAATCGTGTCCTGCGATACCAGCGAATAAAAGAATGCATTATACTCTTCGGTTTGCATTCCCTTTTTGGGCCGCAAAATACGTCCCAATCGCTGGGCTTCTTGACGACGGGAACCGCCGTGACTGGACACCTGAATCAGTACATTGGCTTCGGGCAAATCGAAAGATGTGTCGGCAATTTTCGACACAAATATTGTGCTCAGCTTTGGGTTGTATTGAAAATTTTGCAATATTTGCAGTCTCTCGCCCTGAGATGTCGGACCATAGATGTATGGTCTGCCCATTCGTTTGGCGTAATTGATTAGTGCAAATATGTTGTCCGAAAAGACAATTATCTTATCGTTACGTCTTTCGTGATATCGTATAAGAAACTGACAAACCCTGAACTTGTTTGGGTTCATCACATACAGAAGCTATCGATAAATAAATAAATAAAAATATATACCAATAAAATATCAATTGGATTAACCAACTATTCAAATTAATTACCATCTTTTTGCAGGCTCTGGTAGTCAAATATTCTCGATAGAATTCGGGTGCCATTCGACACCAAACTTCGGCGCACTGGACACGAGCAATGTAGCCATTATTGGACAACTCTAGCCAATTGGCTTCGTATAGTTTGGGTCCGATCAGAAAGTTAAGATCGGCAATCTTGTCGTCCTCGCGGACCAGTGTGGCCGTCAAACCGAGCTTACAATGAGACTGGACTATAGTCAACACTCGACGAAACATTTTGGCCGGTATAGTGTGCACCTCGTCGAGCAACATAAGACCCCATTCCTGTTCGGTCAACCATTTCATCACCTGTTCCGCTTCCCACGACCGTTTCTGTGTATGCGTTATCATCGAGTATGTCGTTATACAGATACCGCTGCCAATTGGCTTGTCTTTGGCATCAGATGTAAACCGACATATCATAGTGTCGTCGGCTGTTGACCACAGTTTGAACTGTGTTTTCCATTGTTCAACGGATACGGCTGAATTGCATAGTACGAGACACCGTTTTCTGACTGTACAACAAGCTGTCACACCGACCAATGATTTACCGGCACCGCAGGGCAACACAATAACGCCCGATCGTGCTCTACCGTTGCCAAACATTTTGCGTAAACTTTTCTCTTGATAGGGCCGTAAAAGAGCCGCCGGTTTTAGATCAAGACTATAGAATAAATAGTGTATTAGATTTAAGATAAATAAACTACAAAACAATTTAATAATTTACTTAATATCAGGATTTAACGTATCGTGTTTGAAGTCATACTCGGCTAACAGCGGATACTCCAATTGTATGCACCGTCGCTGAAGATTCTCAATCTCCGACTGATTTACTTCAAACGATATTGTCTTAACATCTTCGGCGTCATCTTCGTCTCTCTCCATCTTTTCATAGTAATTGGCAATATCGTCGGGTATTGCTTCCGATTCTTTTTCCTCAGCTTTATTATCGTCAGCGGTTGTGGTGCCATCAGCGGCGACTTGACTGGTGCTGGCCTTACCAGTCTTCATGCTGGTCACTATAAGGCCGTCGTTTTCTTCATCGGCATTTTCGACATCCCGTCTCAAACGAGCCTTTTGTATTTCTGGATCTTTCAATAGTTTTTGTATCACATCCTATAATATAAAAATCATAATTAAAACAACATATCATTTACAGGTAATTGGTGTTACAATTAAGTACTTACAGGAAAAGGCGATTCAACAAAATATCGGTTGTGTTTCAAAACTAGTTTTACTTTACCATAGCTTAGTGTACAGAGCTTTAAAAGTGATCAACAAATATAAAACAATGGTAAACAATGACAACAATTATTACTTACATTAATAAATTCAACGATTCCGTCGGGAATTGTCGTTTTGCTCAGTCGTCTCATATATTCAATAATATCTTTGGTCTGTAGACCAACAGATACGGCGGCATAGAGTGAATAGGCTGTTAGTTTGTATTCATGGACGTGTTCGGGACGGGAGACGGGCTATAATAATGTGTAATGAAAACAAACAAAAAACTTTTATATAAATATATGACACAAAAAACAAAATCAATTACTTCGGCGATTGCAATGAGAAAGTCGTGCGCGTGTTTATAGACCGGCGAAAATGTTTCCAAAAAGATATGGCCATCCGGTGCCACCCATAATGGCCGCGACATATAGTCTTCTCTTAGTTGGACATCTTGTGTATAGTCTTTGGCACCGAACTCGTCTTCGCGAACGCCTTCGTTAATTTGACGACTGGCCGATTCGGGTATGATATCTATTTGTATAATAATAAATGGTTGACCAGAAATAGTAAAAAATAAAACGGCAAAACATACCCAAACTCTCGTTGGTGTCATCGGCAATATCGTCGCCGCCGTATGAGTGGCCAGCGCTACCCCCACCGCCGCCACCACCACTACCTCCAGTACTGTGTTTCGATCGGGAACTTCTATCTGCGGGTCAATGACAATGGCCGTCATTGGTGTCAATTGAATTATCGGTAGCCGATAAACAAAAATATTTTATACAAACCTTTTTTGCCCATTTTGTTTACCGCCGCCGCCGCTGTTGTTGTCGCGGACACAATATAATTACTGGTCAATTAACACACACAATGACCACAACAAACAACACGTGTTTTTTTTTAATGATAATTATTGTTTGACTATTTGTTTTGACAATTAGTTAATTGTTTTTTTATTTGTATTATTAAAATAAAAACACAAACAAATCGTAAACGCAATCATTGAATGAATGAATGAGTGATTGAATGCATTGAATAAACTTTAATATTATGGGGTTTTTTGGGGGAATTTTTATTGAACCCCAAAAAAATGTTTAGTTAGTTATTATAATTATTTTCAAATGATATTTTCATATAATATATTTTTTTCATTTGATAACCAAAAAAATGCCCCAAAAATACATTAAAATAAATTTAATTAAAAAATGAGAGATTTTGCGCAAAATATTATTTTTTTTAGGGAATTATTTGCTTAATAATAATAAACTAAAATATATTATAAAAACATTAAAATATTACCTGATATGCAATGCAATGCTATTTCAATGGCAGTACTATTACTATAGTATTAATAACCAATAAATGGTTTGGCTTTCAAAATAGCGTTGTATTTGTAAAATAATGTTTAATATTATATAAATTCATATAAAACTTATTATTTGTTAATTACTTATCACTTTTTATTTGAAATAAAAATCAAATTTTAATTATTAAAATAAACTATTAATTAAATAAATAAATAATTTAATCATGATAATTATTATTATTATTAACAATCACATTAACCACTTGTAATATTATATTATAAATACTTTATTAGTACACAACCGTTGCATTACATTTAAAAAAAAATATAAGCCCCGCCCCCTATAACCAGGGTTCAAATTTAGGGTAATATTAAATACAGTGTAAACAATTTAGGGTCAGTTCATAAATAATGTCTAAATAGTGATCGACATTTTGTTACCATTTTAGGTTAGTACTAGTTTAATGAATGTCAATAATTGAATCTATGTGGCAAATAGTACCAAAATGCTGATTACTTGCTGTTATGTAGCTAATTGGCGCCCAATTGAATGCCTAATTGAAAAACATTATTGTGTTTTGAATTTGTTGTCAAAAAAATATAATTACTTTAAATTGTAATTAATTTTTGTTTTGTTTCGGTAAACAAAATGAGTGATAGCGACCAACAACTGTTGGCCACCGATACCGCAGCCGCCACTGCTGCCGGCGGTGATGTAAAGGACACGGAGGAGAAAGTGGAGATTGTCTGCGACGATGTGGTAGAAGAGTTGGTCGACATTGTGGCCGAAGTGGTCGACAATGTATTTGTGGCCAAATATCGCCGATCTTTTGACAAGACGTTTAAGCTATTGGTTGATTCGTTGGCCGATAAACCAGATAAGTCGGCCAAGTTTACCGAGATTCGCGACCGACATCTTGAACAGTACGAACAGTATGTAAAGTCACTGATGGAGAAAGAGTTGTCCCGATGGTTGGCCAACGATACAGTGTCCCGAAGGCTGGCCTATATTCGCGAGCAAAATGTTGACGACGAGTTGTCACAATTGCAGCGATCGGTACAGCCGTTAAAACAACAAATGGTCAAAAAGGTTAAGACAGTACAGCAGTCGGCAAAGGATAGGTTAGAGACCAAGACCAGAGAACTGACCGAATTGACCGAAACGTTGGCCAATGAGACCAAACAGTACGAGTCGTTGAGACAATCGCTGCAAAAGGTTTGACCATCAGATTAATTGTTAAATTAATTTATTAATATCTATTTGTTTTGTTTTTTTTCAACAGAAACTGCTGAAGACATTCAACGAATTGGATTCACTGGATGTAAAAAAATTGGACATTAATTGTAATTAAATTTATCAATAATTTTGTATTATTTTTCATTTATTTTTTGTATGTGTATATCATTTGATAAATAGCCAATTATTCATATATATATTATTTTTTGTTTGTTTTTAATTTAATTTATGTTCATATAATTATTATTATATCCGTATTTGTAAAAATCAATTATTTTATCCAAATTTTAATGCAAATATTAAATTTTAATATTAAATTTATATATAATATTATGATAAAATAATAATAAAAACAAAATCACTTATAATTCAATGATTTTTATTAATTTTTTACTCTTTTTTCTAAACATATTTACATTTTTTTTAAAAACAATTAACAATTTATTTATCGTAATATTATTATATCATAAAATTTTTCTTTAAAATCATATAATTATTTTCGCAAATTTTAATGTCTCTCATGTTTTCAAACTTCATGTTCTTGTATATAGATTTAGACCCTTACCGGTAATCTCAAAAAAAATTTTCACTAAATAATTATTATACAATAGCAATATGTGTTTTTCTTAAATCAATCAATTAATTATAATTATAATATTTAGATGATGATCAATTGAAAGTAAAATTAAATTAATATAAATTACAAATTTGATTAATCATAAAATATTAATTATATATATGTATTTTTAAAATATGTATAGCTTATCATAAAATAGTTTATATGTATATAAATGTATTTTTTCTTTCAAAACCATAAATGAGATGTTATTTTAATTTAATTGTTAATTAAATAATTAATGATTAAAAACAAATAAATGTCTGACAAATTACAGTTTTAGTAAATTTCTTAATTTTACACATAATTTATTATGATTTAAGTTAGTGTTTCATAGGTTTTTGTTTAGTTATTTAATTTGTTTTGTTGTGTGATTGTAATTATAACTAATGATAGTATTTTATCATCAAAATACATACCCGGATATCTAATTTGTAAATTGAATTAATTTTGACAATAAATTTACGGTACAGCAAAAATAATAATACATTAAAAATAAAACAAAATTGCAGACAAATTATTATTGTATCGTATATTAATTATGTTGTTTGAGATTATTTGATAAAAAATTTTCCGGAAATATGCTCTGAAAATATAATAATAAATTTGCACATATGTTAAACAAGTAGAAATTTAATGTATTTTTTACAAACAAGCTATATATAGATGTAATATAACTTATATATATATATATATATATTTGAATATTGTTTTATATGAGAGACAAAAAAATAACACTATATTTGTCATTATTATTAACACAAAAAAGTCTATATTTATATACTGTATATATTTACTTAATAATATTTATAATTACATTAATAATAATAATAATAATTTTTTTTAATAATTATAATATTTAATGAAATATATTTATATAATATTTACTGTAGATTTAATAATAATAATAATAAAATTATGTATATATATGAGTGAATATATAAAAAGCAGACTATTTATTTTTGTTTAAAAATTAAGTCATTTTTTCAACAACAAAAAAATTCAATTCAAATATACAATAATTTTTTGTTTGTTTCGTTTACTCCAAATATCATTATAATTATTATTAACAAAAAATAAAATAATCCAAAAAAATTATTATCATCTTTATTATATATCATATGTGTTTTTTTTTGTTATAATTTAATTTAAATCAACACATTTTTGTCGTATCAAGCGTTGGATGTAATAGAAAGAAATAGAGGACAGGGAGTTGAGAGGTCGGGCGGTAAGAGTCAATGACAGAAAATAATAGCAAAAAAAAATAAAAAATATTTTGAGACGAGAAAAGCGACGATCAAAAAAAGCAGAGACCTTAAGACATTATATAACAATTTTTTTTGATTGATGTGAATAGTTTTGGGGAACAGTTTTGATGGTGTAGTTGTTGTTTTTGATGATAATAGTAGTTGTATATGATGATGATCATCATCAGCACCACCACCAGTCAATAGAAGTGGAACTGTTTGACCAGTAGGAGCAACAACAACAACAGCACCGGGTTGTTGTGGTGGTGGCTCAGGGATGTGTCGAAAGAGAGAAAAATATATAATAATTTTTTGTTGTTGAAAAATTCACAGTTAATAACATCGTTTTTTTTTGTTGTTTTTCTTTATCGAAATTTTTTTTGAAATATATATTTAAATATTTGAATAAAATTTAATGTTAATTTTTGTTTTGTTTTATCGTTGAAGTAATAGTTGTCTTAAGTGTGTAGTAGTAGTAGTAGTAGTAGTGGTAGGTTTATGTCCAAAAAAATTATCCAGGTTATTATTATAAATTTATAATATAGAGCAACTTGTACTACAGCAACCACTGCTACGATCTTTACTTTTTTGTCGTTGATCTATAATATAATTAAAAAAAACAAACAAATAAATAATTTATTAATATTTATAAATTTTATAAACAAAATCACAAATTTTTTTTTAATTATCTCAATATATGAAAATTAAATATTTACTAATACAACAAAAAAAATTATTCATAAAATTATCAATTAAATTAACGGGTATTGTAATCAATTGGAAATGCTGAGCAAACAGGAAATGAAACCAAAAAAAATAATATAAATTATTAGTCAAAGTAATAAAAACAAGTATTTTATTTATATTAGTCTTATTTCACATTGAATTAAAAATACAGAGAAAAATATGTTTTTTATAAGTTTTTTTTCTAATTATTTTTGTTGTTGTTATAAATAATGTATTTTGATATATGATATACAGTATATAAGATTATTAACTGTAAAAACTCATTGATTCATGCAATTTTAGTGTTGCAATCAAAATAAAACAACAACAATCATGATTATCAAAAAATATAAATCTTTTTTTTTAAATATTAAAATATTTATTATAAACATAGTTTTGCGATAAACAATCAAAAAATGTATAAATAGTAACCCTAAACAAGTAAATTATTGTATATATCATATTTTTGTTGAAAAAAAACTCCACTTTATTTTTGACTGATAACCACTAACCACTTAATGACACATTTATTAATAATGAATGTATTTAATCCTTTATTATTAATAATGAATATACTGTTTATATATAGTATATATCGCCAAATAATCACTTAAATGTATAGTTTTAATATAGTAGTTATATTTATAGCAAAAACATAATATATTCTGTATATACAACTATATATAGTATATATAAATTTATATATAAAGTGCAATAAATTTTTATTTCATATATTGTAATGGGAATGGTTAACCAAAAACATAATCTTATACAGTATATTAGTTGCTTATATAATATACATAACAGTATAAATTACTATTACTGTATATTATATTTATACAGTTGTGCTAATATACCTAACATATGAATCGGTTATTATGATGAATGGATGGTCATCATATAACCATCAGAGCACAGTTACCATTGACTTAATCGCTTATATACATAAAGAGAGAAATCATAGAGTATATACCTAATAAAAAAAACTACTAATCCACGTGACAATATCATTATCTTGGAGATAATCCCCAGACAATAAATGAGGTCATATTAACAAAAAATAATAATAATGACACTAAAGTATAATAATGTATTAGTTGATATTAAAAATCATTTATTATCATTATTTTACACTACATATATATAAATATAAGTCAATAGTTAACGCTATAGTTTTTAAAATTATATTAGAGAGAGAGAGAGAGAGAGAGAGAGAGAGAGAGAGAGAGAGAGAGAAAGAGAGAGGAAACTAAAATACATTATTTAAATTGAAATTTTTTAATTCAATAAAACACTACTTCCAAAACATTAGATTCATATATCATACATGAATTAATGATTATTTAAAAATTTGAATTAAATTTACATATTTTCATGAGTTTTTTATTATTATTATTTGTTGTTGTATTTTAAGAGGACAGAGAAATAGAGAAAAAATAGTTTATAATATTATATAAAAAAAATATTATGAAAGGAAAGGGAAAAAATTGTGAATACAATTATACATTGTATTAGCTTTTTATGAAAAGATGACCCAAATGTCTATATAAAAAATTAAATAATAATACAGTAATAATAATACAAAATTTTTATAAAGTAGTCACAAAATTATTTGAATTGTTAATTATTTTATAATAGTATACTTATAGTAGTAATAATGATTATAAAAATAATAAATCAATAATTGCATTTATAAGTGTACTGAATAAACACTTTTAAAATAAAATAACTAATGTTTTACAAAATTTCACTTGAATTGTATAATTAATTGTATGAAAAATATATAACAATAATAATATTATTTAATTCGGATAAAGACTGAGAAAAATAATTGCAACAAATGATAAATTGCTACTAAATGTTAACAAAACCTTTATTTTTGCAATTTATTAAATAACAGATTAAATACTGTAATATTAATTATAATAAAACCTAGTGTTAATTAATGTAAACAAAAACCTAACCATTTTTGAGATATTAATTAACATAAAACTTTAATTTTCGTAAAATAATTATACAATTTTACTTTAAGTTTATATACTTTATATAGTTTATTAACATTTTACCCATAAATTTCACTTTATTAGTATTATTTGTTAAAATTTTCGCCTCTAATTTTCTACTCTATTTATATAAGCCTTTTAATTAAAAATTATATGTTGAAAAAAATAATTTAATTAGATATATACTGTATATAACTGTATTGTTGACATTTTAGTGTTTAAATTTATAACCACTATTTAACATTTAGTTTAAAAAACATATTAATTAGCAACTCAATATTAATGCATGTTAATTAATAATAATTATAAATTTAGATTAATTTTTAATCACAAATCTATAAAAGCCTTGTTAGTGTTGATTATTATCATTGCCTTATTTAATTTTTGACAAACATTACAAAATCGGGAAATTTACTTTTAATTGAAAAAAACAAAAATAAATAAATTTATAAACATATTAATTATGTGAATATTAGTTAATAATGTAAAAATACTAATTATTTTTCTTTTAAAGTAATTTATTTAATCTCAATAGCAGTCAATAAAAATTAAGCACACATAGGGTAAGAGATAATATAAGAAAATAATTAAACAATTATTAATATTATTGTTATAGTTAACAATATTTAATTAGTTTAACCAATAATTAAATAGTCAAAATTTAATAATTACAACAATAAGTCTAAAAAAATTCAATAGATATAGGAAAATACCAGAAAAAATTTAAGGCATGTAAGGAAAATTACTAGTAATTGTTTATCAAAATTATTATACAAAAAAATAATTATTCTTAATAAAGCTAATAAAAAGTGTTAATTATTAATAATAATAAATAGGAAAACTTGAGAAAACAACAACAAATTTTCTATCGATTGCAATGCAAAACATTTAATTTTTTTTCTCTCTCTCATTCATTCAATTGAAATGCAAATAAAGATATTTTCAATAAATAATTAGTTTATTATCGTTTGTGACGTTTATTAATTTAATAGTATTGTAAGTATGCATAATATAATTTATATATTTATTTTATATATATATATGAATTGCATATACATTCTAAATAATAATAATAATATAGTGAAAATAGCTTATTATTTTAATTATTAAAATTGTTGAATTATTAAATATATTTTTTTATAATAGTTATTCAAATAATTTTCTTGACAAAAGAAATAAATAAAAAATCAAATAATTAATATTTCAATATATCATAAATTTAAGTATAAAAAATAAATGCATTGTATATTAATATATCACGTTATATAGAAATATATATTTAATTATATTGAAATATAAAACATATATTGGAAACACAATAATGCAAAATAATTTGAATAATAGTTTTTTATATAAACCTATTATACTATATATATTATTTGCATATAAATTGATTTATATAGACTATACTGACTATTTAGATGAAAATGATTAAAAGAAAATAAAAAATCAATTTTAATGAAAAAAAATTACTTAACAATATTAAGACAATTTATAATCAAACTAAAATTTATAAATATATAAAATACACAATATATATATATCATAGAGAGTAAATATATCATAAATGTATTATTATTATAGAGATGGAGACAAAAAAATCCAATAAATTTATTATCATCATCATTGTTATTAGTATTATTATTAAACTAAACATTGTGTTGTCTATACATTATATTTATAGCCAATTGACGTAATCCTAGCTAAAAAGGGGTCAGGGATGCAATAAAAACGGTATATATATTGTTTCAATGTTCATTTATCATACAAATACACATAAAACTCTAACCAGGGTTAAATTTAACGTAGCTGACATTTTTTGTTTGTTTGAGTATATTGACATTTTTTTAACCAATAAACAATTTAAAAAAACTATATTACGGTATATTTATATTAAATTTAAACATATATAACACATATAGAGATGCATAATAATCATTATACAGTTTTTCTACGATTCAAGTCATGGTGTGCATTGATGTCATAGACACACACAAATACACACACACTTATATATACAATACACAAAATGTATTAAACATTAAATTTTTATTTTATGTTTTTAGCCGATAAAATGTTACATTATCTAATTTATTCACATTTTTATTTGTAACCATCCAGGCCTTGGCTTTTATTATTGACTTAAATAAAAACAAATCGACAAATGTCACTATAAATAGTTTCTCTCAAAAAAATATTATAGTTATTATACTGTATTATATATATACCGTATATTATAAGTGTGTGTGGAGAAAAAAAACAATAAAACAAAATTTGCTTAACTTTCAATGTCTGTGCCACATATTATATACATATATCAAAACTAAAAATAAAACCATTTAATATATATTATACAATATATATAAATTTATATACCATTTATATAAACCGTATATACTTTATATATCATATTTTATATGGCATTCTACTGGTATATAGTCTTAATGATAAAACTGTGATTGATATAAAAAGCTAAATATTTGACACATTTTTTGTGGCCATTAATTACTGGAAAACATAGCTTAACATAGTATTTATCTCAACAATGGTTATAGAAATGGCTTTCAGCGCTTTTGGGCATTACATAACACATACATACATACACACACACACACACACACACACACACACATAGACATATATATATATATATACACGATATTTAGACATTATGGTTGGGAATATAAATCGATATGAAAATAGTGAAATAGTGGTGTGAATATATATTTCTCTTCAAAAACATTACTACACCATAAATTTATATATATATAAATTATATGTATGTATATATAATATAAAATGTATTGTATATACAATACTATAGATTATATTATATTGGATTACGTGTAACAATAATAATGAAAAAATCGATTGACATTCACATACTTCACTGATGCCTACCATCTCATAAACCATAGCTTATATAGACTACAGTATAGTCACCATGAGTTTAGACATTGCTATGAATCAGTAGTGATATGGGAAGTGCTTTCTCATCTCATCTCTGTCTCTCAGTTTGACGGCTGTACTGTATGTGTGTATTACCCAATAGTTCGGGCGTTTTTAAGGAAGAGAAACTGTCGGTTCAATGGCTAATATACAGTATATAACATAAACCATACAAAACACATATCTCACAATTCAATCTAATTTTCTTTTGTGGCACTAAATTAGATAATATTGAGGCTCACCATGTAATGCATGAATAATAAATAGTTACTGTCTCTATTGACTAGACTATATATACAGTATATAAGTTTATTTATAAAAATGCATAGATAGATAAAGTACAGTATTTTTATGTTCAATAGTGATACACATTAACAATATGAGTGACACATCAATGTCATTATTGTTGGCCAAACACGTGCCAAATCACACAATCGCCGGTTTTATGCATTAATGGACAAACACTATAAAACAATATATATATATATATATAGTATATAACTTATATATTTTATAATTCAAATGATTGCCATTTAAGTCAATTTGAATTCACATCAAAAACACTTTTGTGTAGAAATATCGATATATTTTTACAAAACCCATGAGAGATATAAATAGATGGTAAGAGAGAGAGAGAGAGAGAGAGAGAGAGAGAGAGAGAGAGAGAGAGAGAGAGAGAGAGAGATAGTTAATGTATAACAATCTATGGCTTACATAAAAGTAATGTATACAATAACTTAGATTACATTTTTTATCGCTAAAAACATCAATTAATTCAATTAGCATAATATATCATATACGGTGTATAGAGTATATTAGATGGAAAAAATTTTTAAAGTGAAAAATTACTATAAAACTTGTATATACTGCCATAAATTTGATGCCTAAAAAATAAAATAAATTAGTTTAATGCTATTAAACAAAATGAGTGAAAATATTTTTGCTAAAAAAATTAGCAACCAATGCACAGTGCATTTCATTATTATTATTATGCATATATTATAATATACAATATGTGTTAAGTGTATATTATAAAACATTTTTTAACAATTAATAATCTTTTTTAGACAACAAAAATATAAAAATAAAATTCATAATAACGACTATTAAAAACTATTAAAAGTGCAACTAAAATTGTTTAATTATTATTATTATTATATAGTTATACAGTAGTTACAGTATATTAGATAGTTATACGGTATAAATATGATAAAAATATATATTATAAAAATAAATGTTGCCTTAAAAATAGGTACATTAAAAAATAAATATAGTCTAAAATAATTATAACCCATACATCACTGACACATAATACACTAGAAACATACATTTTCAAACAACAATTAATTGATTTGAACAAAACAACAACAAACAACTACTACCAAAAAAAATGATAAATTATTATTACTTTTATTTTACAATACATTACAAACAAACAATAAGATACAAACAACGCACACATTAAAGCAATTGACAAAAATCTAGTTTATATCCGTACAGAAAATAGATTTTACACAAAAAAAATATTGGCAAACATTTTGTCTGATTGTTATTTGAGTGTTTTGAATGTTTTTCAAAAAAATAAATAAAAGGGTAAATATGAGAGGGAAATGATGTTTGGCACTGGTATGAAGTGGTTTTTTGTGTGTACAATATATAGTATGTATAATGTGTTGTATGGCATGCAACGATGATGTCTCTCACGGAACAGTTGTATTTTTAGGGTGTTTACACCATTTGCTGTTATAGATTGTGTTAGAGAGTGGAGAGAAAGATAGAGAGAGAGAAATTGAAACATATATTAGTGTTTTAGCAAAATCACAAAATCAGCACAAAATTAATGCTAAAACTTTCGCTATCCTTAAGAGAGAGAGAGAGAGAGAGAGTGAAAATAGTCAAGTAATTTGAGTTTACAGATCTCACATCAGATCCAGAAGTCGTGGTTTGGGTCAAGTAATGTATAGAATGAGGAATCACTGATCACTCGCTTGCTTTCTCTCTCTCTCTCTCTCTCTCTCCTCAGTCTCCCTTTCCATCCCTTACTCTCGATCCCTATCCCTCTATTACATTCACTCACTCAACAGTCAGAAAATTAAAGCTCAAAAGTTGATTATTATATACTGTATAAACTTATATATATATTACGAATTTGGAGGCACCAGTGCAATGGTGAACAAACCAACACATTAGGGAATACAAGTACAGTTTAGCTCCCGAATGGCATACCAGTGCCGAATATATATATATACAATTGAGAGATGTTTTTAAGCTCAGCCATGCATTTTGCGCTTATAAGGCATTCCTTTTATGGAACAGACTGACTGACTGACTTAACTTGAAAAGAGAACCCCCACCACCACCTAAATGACTGTCACTTTAACGAAAAACACTGTTATTTATTTTCCTCCCCTTCCTTTATATCCTATGGTACTATCGGTATGGTAAGTCATCAGTCAGAGAGAGAGAGAGAGAGTGATAGTGCATTATTTGGTGCATAGCATACACAGCCCAATGGCATATGTAGTACTACTAGTATTGAAATGTTTTGTTTTGCAACCAAATAATAAACATTTAGGAGAAACACATACACATACATAACATATCACCATAAATATCTCAAAAACTATAAGATATATAGTAATCATTTTTTTTCTCTCTCTTTCTATGGGTATTTAAAAGCACTGGTAGGGCGTTGGGGAGGCCAATGACAAACAGCAGTCGATGCGAGACGTTTTGCAACATTTAATCCTCGGGTTTTTGACTAACCATTGGAAAAAAGGGAGAGAGAGATGGATAGAGATATAGAGACTTATAATGAAAAAACACATTAAATGGCATTAATTTCTGGGGCCCTCTCTCTCTCTCTCTCCCATTGAATGAGTAAATCTCTATATAAATTTACTGTAAATATATTACTATTGCTGATGCTATTTGAGATGATATATGAAATGTAATGATTCAGATAATAAAGATAAAAAAATAATGAAATACATTGAAATGCATACACAATATACGGTATGATAAAAACAATAGTAAGTTTCAGTAAATTTGTTACTTATTTTATTTTTGTTGTTGCTTTCAATGCAACGCACTGTAATTGGTTTTAGTTTTATTATACTGTATAATAGACAGTGTATATAGATATATGCTATTTTGCTGAGCAATTAATATTAATTAGTTAAATGTATTATTAAATAAGTGATTGTCTAAAATGTCTAAAAAAATCTAAATATATGAGACAAATATATAGTGTTTATATATCTAACTAACAAATAAAATTAGTTTATATATCTACACTATATTATATTATTACGAGTACTGTATTGCATGTGCTATTGTCATATTGCGTTAATAGCATACGTCAAAAATCGCATTAAATATAAATTATATGTAATATGCATATGACTACTATAATACTATTATATAACTAAACTATCGTAAAAATGTACAATAAATGTATTTATATGTTTGCGTTTGAATTTGACGATTGATTTAACATTTTTAGTGCACATAAATGTTAAGTGTTGTGTATAAATGGACTTTAGTTGTCATGAAAATCATAGTTTTTTGTTGCAATCTCTCTCTCTCTCTCTCTCTCTCTCTCTCTTTCTCTGATAAAATAAAAATCAAACATAAAAAACAAACACTTTCTCTCTCTCTGTTTCAATACATTGACTGTATGTTTGGTCCTATCCATTGACTTATACAACATACAGTATAAAACACACTTAAATAATAAAATAAATAAAAATTTCAATTATTTTGTCGTACACTCACACATGTCTACTATACTGTATGTGCTGTCGTCAAACAAATAGAAAAATAGTTTATTGCAAATATATATACTGTATATGAAATATTTATAAAAAAAAGTTTAAACAATATATATTCTTTATGTGTGTGTGTTTATATATGACAATCATGTTTGTTATTTGCAATATAATATTGTCAATATCTATAAATGCATTAATTGTTTAGTAATTATATATCATTTTCTATACATTAGAAAAACTATATATATCTTCTAAAATGTTGTTTTTTGTCTTTTTTTTATTTCAAATAAGAGACAACAATAGCTTTTATGCAAATTATCACAACATTTCACTGCCTTGAAAACAATACCCCATCGAAAAAAATTATATATCTTTCGATAATAATAATATACATAATTTATATATAAATAAAACAATTATAGCACACATACCATGTGAGTTGGGCTCCGGTAGGTTTTCACGCGGAACTAAATGCATTACACTTGTCTTTCCTAATGGCAATTGAAGTGCTGTTTTAGTTTATGTTGTCGATGTCGTTGTTGTTGTCATTGTCATGTGTTGTTACCATCGATCCATAAAACAATTTTCATGGAAAATATATGGACAGATAGATAGATAAGAAAAATAAATAAAATAATAAATAAATAAAGTTATTTTCATTTGGTTATTATTAATATTATTATTGTTATTATGAACAGCAAACAAATCAATACATGTAATGCAATATACTATACTATATATATATATATATATAACTTATTATAATTGAAGTATAAATACTGTTTATTAGTAATTATCTCTAATAAAAACATGTCTCATATATTATTTCCACTATCCCGTGACATACGGCATATACATAAGCATATATTCAATTGAATGTCATATACAGTAGATATATTTTTTATGTATGTATGAGACGGTATATACCAATATATATATGATACCAGTGCTGTCGGGTCTTCCAAATGCTAATTATGTGTTAATTAATAACTAATGATGTCATGGGCTCGTGATTTTCTCTCCATAATAAACTACATTTAAATGTCCTTAAACCTACACTGACACTTAGAGGGAAAGGTAGGCTCATAAATGTTACACTGTTTACAACAGTACAATAAAACAATCAAAAACATTTATAAATATAATAGACATCATGAACTAGTATTTTGTATACCATATGATAATTAAAAAAATTATATTTTTTTAAATAATAATCTTAATGTCTCTTTGTTTTTAAAAAAACTGATATTATATCTAACATATGGTGTGTGCACCCAGATCCAGGGATGTCTATTGTTTTAGGGCTGTATATGAATGGGTAATTAATATGCACACATACACATCTATCCAGATAGATACATCCGAGGCCAGGTAGGTCACGGGTCTGGTACTCAATCAATCTAATTCTCACTAACTAACTTGACATTACCTGCTAGTGTGACATTTCCATGGAGAAACCGGCCCTGAAATATCAGCCGCAATATCTCGGCCCTCGACACCGATTCGTTAGCCCATTCATCTGGCCAGTGGTCAAACACGTACTGTGCGATATCGGCCGCCGAATCGTTTGGTGAAAATAAAAACTCCTTGGCTTTGCCACTCTCGCCAAATGCCGGCAATATTAGTCGTAAATTTATTTTATCCGCTGGTATACGGGTTCCCATTTTGTGTTATATTATTATTATATATACAAAGACAACTGTCCTCCAAAAAAAACAATAGCGATAACAACACTATGTCTTGAATCTAAAAACCCGTGGGTTTTATATACACAGTATATGTTTGGTTTGTTTTTTTGTTGATGAAACAAATTATATTATTTTTAGTTAATTTATCAATAAATCACTGAATCATATATTATTATTATTTCTATAAAAATGATATATTTTCTGATATATCATTTCAATCAATATATTATTATTTGTTGTGTCATTTAAAATGTCAAACAACACAACTGACTATAAGTTATATACAATATATTAATATATAATTTATAAATTATATGATATTATATATATATATACACATATTATTATAACAATTATTATAATAATAATAATAACAACAACAACAACGTTAACAAACAAACAATAAAATATCCAACAATTAAATAATAATTTTTTTAGTCAATGTTTTTTTTCAGTAAATATTATATCCAAATAATTATATCATATATTTTACGGCTGCTGTTTGTATCATCCAATTGACACACAAAACAAAAATATACAAAAATTATTCAAATCATATGATTATAAAATCAATCAAATTAGTGAATTTATTTATTTATGTATTTAAAAAAATCAATTATCAATCAACTGAAACACATATCCAAATTTGATTTTGATATTATCATTATATTATTATATATATATATATATATATATATATATATTATAATCATTAGACGACATCAAACAAATAAACTAAATATCATTCACTATTAGTCATACATATATATACCATGTATTGATAACACAATTATTATTATTATTATTTTAATGTCTATTAACACATACACACAGATTGAATTCAAATCATTCAATTCAATAATAATAATAATTTTTAAAAAACAATCATCGATTTGACGGCTAATATACTGTATGTTTAGAATATTATTATTACTACAATATTGTTATTATTATTATTATTACTATTACTATACATATTAATGATTACACAAACAATTAAAAAATAAAGTCATATATATATATATATATATATAGACTATTATATATGTATAGACAGACACACAGTAATAACATACAGTATACTAATAATAATAATAATAATAATTGATATCAATTTTTACTGTATAAAAATCACTCCATTGAAAAATACTGGGTATTATATATATATATGTTGTGTTGTTGTGTATATATATATATATATATATTATGCACTGTTGTTAATACTCTGTATATGCGCTTATGTACGTATGTATCCCTTCAATATTATTAAGAAAAAAAACTCCCTGCGCTTCACACATAGACATACACACACATACACACAACTAGTGCAGCACTGCACACACATATCATGCAAACACACAATTATTATACACAAGTATTGGTACTATTGTATTGACTAGTAGTGTGTGTGTGTGTGTGCACTGCACTGCCATTACTGGTATACAGTATGTGCACTGGTATGTACTAGTAGTAGTAGTTAATGGTGGTCAATATCAACTGGAGGGGGGGTTGGCATAGACTAGTAGTAGTAGTAGTAGAGGGGGTCGAAACATACGCACACATAACTGGGTTTTATGGGTTGTCTAAACCTAAACTAACCAAAAACCAAACCAACCAATCACTGACAAGCATTATATCGTAGATATTTGACGTCATAGCTAATTGTAAGTTCACTGATTGGTTGATATGAACTATTTTTTGTTGTTGTTGTTACTATTATTAATAGCGCCAATTTTAAACTAACCTTGTTTGATTTAAACTTTGTGTATGTGTGTGTGTGTGTATAGTTTTAAAATGATATTGTTAATTATGTTTTTTTAAATAATAAAAATATATAATAGATAGATTAATTTAATAAGCCAGGATAATTTTAATAAAATTTTATCAAATATAGTGAATGCTTTTGCTGGCAGTAGTAATGATTACTATAATTGAGAAATAACTGTTTGAATGATATACTGTCCGTAGTATTATTCCGTACTCTCCCAACCAATACATGTATTTGTAATTGTTTTTCACTAATAAATTTTGGTCATTATTTTCATCGACAAACAACCATTAAGTCATAAAACCATTGACAAGATTGTGATTTTGTTTTTCTTCAATGAATCAGTTGAGTTGAATACACCAACAAAAAAATTGATTGTTTAAATTGACTGAATATCGAGAAAAATTCTGTTATTTACCCAAAAAAAACAAAACAAAACTATTAATTTATAATATTTTTTGTTTGTTTGTTAATTAGATTTCATGTAATTACCAGAAATACTTAACAAATTTGATTTTTTTTTGTTAGTTTTTTGTTGTTGTTGTTGATTGGATGGCATCCGATGTTTGTGTCAATTGTTGAAAAATTTGTTGTCCAATATTTTTCCCAATACTTTTAGTTTTTGTTTTTTTTGAGGTTAATTTGAAAAGACTAGACTATGGTGTGAATGACACACATTTGTGTATCTCTGAGATCCTAAACATACAGAGTATAGTATTTTATTATAAGTCATCAATATTTAGTCATTCAATGGGTTATCATTTTAAACGACTACTAATACTTTCATTATTAGTTCAATACAACCAAATACTATCCCAATAAATAGATCGGAAATAATTTTTCGTAAATAATAAATAGTTTTAAAAATGTAATAGTCTTAACCAACATATCTCACATTTTGTCAGTAAGTTAATGATATTAACTATAAAATTGATATACTATTAGTCATTTCAAAATTTATTACATAAATTTAATAAATATGTAAATAAATAATAAAAAATATGTTTTGTTTATAACTTTTATATGATTAAAATCTTACAATATATATCACATATATGAACTGTCTCTACATATAATCGATTTTGTTTAGCATCTCTCAATGCATTGGTTTGATATATATATATCAATTTAAATAGAAATATATTGTCAAAAGAGATCTATCTAAAAGATAGTGTATAACTTTTTTATTGATATATATATATATATACACTATATATAAATTTTATACACAAATAAAAACAACTATAAGTTTACCACTGAATAGATCCTATTATATAGTTTTGATGGTATGTCAAGAGTGAAACATTAAATTTACTACAAATTTTATAGTTTTATCTCTCTCTCTCTCTCTCTCTCTCTCTCTCTCTCTCTCTCTCTCTCTCTCTCTCTCTCTCTCTCTCTTTATCTCTTTCTTTCTTTTTTTCTTTCTTTATCTTCTCTTACATTATAAATCTAACTATTTTTTAGTCTATACTATACTGTAGAGTATATCTATATATATATATATAGCACAATAAGTGGTGTTTGACCACTGGCCATAAGGTAATACCTAATTATATGATATAAGGGTTTCTTTTTTTATATTTTTGTTGTTGTTTTCTATCGTTTCTTTGTTGTCTATACTTTTGGTTAGTCATTATGTCTTTTCGTGTGTTATGTAATTTAATTTATTTCTTATATATATCAGTTATTTTATTTTTTTTAAAAAACGAGATACTTTGTAATTCAATTGTATTTCAGTAAAAATTATTATTTTTCTATACTATTTTTCGCCAAATGTTTTGGGAATCATTATAACACTAGTTATGAAATCAATTATTTATAAATTTTATTATAATATAATACTAATCCAATTTTAATATAAGATATACATCTCCTTCAATGTATTAGTATAATAGGGTTTGAATTTTATTTTTATCATACAATTTAAGTCTAGTTTTTTTATTTTGTACAGTAATGTTATATATATTGATAAATAATTATTATTTATATAAATGTAAGCGTTTTGTATGCAATAAGTGTGTGTTAACATTAAATTATTGTATATTATTGAACTAAATTGTGTTTATTATGGCATTTATATTATAATAAATTTTATAATAGTTTAATAATTTTTTTTTAAAAATGCTTATACAGTAAAATATTATTATAAAAACTTGAAATATGATTTTTTTGCGATTCAATTGTACATATATTAATTGTTATGCAATTATTACGATTAACTTTATCGATAAATAAAATCAAAAAATACTACGATTGAACTTTTATCCTAAAGATATATTTATATAAAAAATAGTTTTATCTGTAATTATTATCCTATTCTATAGGCTATAGATTTTAAATCATTTCATTTTATTTGTTTGTTTGTTTGTCTATTTATTTATTTATTTATTATTATAATCGCCTTTATATTTTATTTTGTTTGTATGTATTAAATTTTTCAATTGTGTTGTCAATGTTTGGCATTCAAATTAAATAACAGTTAGAGAGAGAGAGAGAGAGAGAGAGAGAGAGAGAGAGAGAGAGAGAGAGAGAGAGAGAGAGAGAGAGAGAGAGAGAGAGAGAGAGAGGGAGAGAGAGAGAATTACAATATTATTGTGCTATTATTTTAGCATTTATATTACGGTTGTATTGATTTTATAGTTACTATTAAATGCTATTTACAGCGATTTCAATGTTTCTCTCTCTCTCTCTCTCTCTCTCTCTCTCTCTCTCTCTCTCTCTCTCTCTATTTCATGAAATATTTATGGTTGTCTAATACATTTAGATAAATTAAAATTTAATTTAAGTACCGATTTTTATCGACACATCTAAACATCTATTTGTTTGTTTTTCTGTCTCTTTTTTTTTCTCAATATAATCTCAATATAATCTGTATTTGTTGTTAGCAAAACTTAAGTGATAATAATACAGTGTTTTATTAAATTTATAAGTATAAATATTTTAAACTATAAAATAAACATTACTATCAATGTTAAAGTATAGCTTATATTATTAATCTATATATAACTTTACACCTAACTCTAGCACTATGTTTTCTTAACACACTTTTCACCTAAAAACCAGTTTTGTATACTTAAGTCCTCTCCTAACTTACCCGTAAACCTAACTTGCTAAAATGTTTAATAACACAGGATTTCACTTAAGTGAGGAGTTAAGTGCACGCAAGTTACGAATCTTAGTTGATAACACGCCGCCCAGGCATCCGCTTATATTATTAATCTATATATGACATCCATCCCATCCCTTAAATTATTGCTACGTCTGTTAAACTTTAGCCATAAATATAATCGAAAAGTTGTCTTTTTTTTGGAAAAATTTATTTAAACTTTTTCCGATTATATAATAATATTATTATAATTTTTTTTGAAAAGTCATACAAACTAAACATAGGATTACATAATACAGAATTTTTACTTTAATACA